TGTGTGTTCTGCATGTTTTCTGTGTGTTCTGCATGTTCTCTGGATGTTTTCTGCGTGTTCTCTGCATGTTTTCTGTGTGTTCTCTGCATGTTTTCTGTGTTTTCTGCATGTTTTCTGTGTGTTCTGCATATTCTCTGGATGTATTCTGTGTGTTCTCTGCAGGTTTTCTGTGTGTTCTCTGCATGTTTTCTGTGTGTTCTCTGCATGTTTTCTGTGTGTTCTCTGCATGTTTTCTGCGTGTTCTCTGCATGTTTTCTGTGTTATCTGCATGTTTTCTGTGTGTTCTCTGCATGTTTTCTGTGTGTTCTCTGCATGTTTTCTGTGTGTTATCTGCATGTTTTCTGTGTGTTCTCTGCATGTTTTCTGTGTGTTCTCTGCATGTTTTCTGTGTTCTCTGCATGTTTTCTGTGTGTTATCTGCATGTTTTCTGCGTGTTCTCTGGATGTTTTCTGTGTGTTATCTGCATGTTTTCTGCGTGTTCTCTGGATGTTTTCTGTGTGTTCTCTGCATGTTTTCTGTGTTTTCTGCATGTTCTCTGGATGGTTTCTGTGTGTTCTCTGCAGGTTTTCTGTGTTATCTGCATGTTTGCATGTTTTCTGCGTGTTTTCTGGATGTTTTTTGTGTGTTATCTTCATGTTTTCTGTGTGTTATCTGCATGTTTTCTGTGTGTTCTCTGCATGTTTTCTGTGTGTTCTCTGCATGTTTTCTGTGTGTTCTCTGCATGTTTTCTGTGTGTTCTCTGCATGTTTTCTGTGTGTTCTCTGCATGTTTTTTGTGTGTTCTGTGCATGTTTTTTGTGTGTTCTCTGCATGTTTTCTGTGTGTTCTCTGCATGTTTTCTGTGTGTTCTCTGCATGTTTTCTGTGTGTTCTCTGGATGTTTTCTGTGTTCTCTGCATGTTTTCTGTGTGTTCTCTGCATGTTTTCTGTGTGTTCTCTGCAGGTTTTCTGTGTTATCTGCATGTTTGCATGTTTTCTGTGTGTTCTCTGCATGTTTTCTGTGTGTTATCTGCATGTTTTCTGTGTGTTATCTGCATGTTTTCTGTGTGTTATCTGCATGTTTTCTGTGTGTTCTCTGCATGTTTTCTGTGTTATCTGCATGTTTGCATGTTTTCTGTGTGTTATCTGTATGTTTTCTGTGTGTTCTCTGCATGTTTTCTGTGTGCTATCTGCATGTTTTCTGTGTTATCTGCATGTTTTCTGTGTGTTCTCTGCATGTTTTCTGTGTTCTCTGCATGTTTTCTGTGTGTTATCTGCATGTTTTCTGTGTGTTCTCTGCATGTTTTCTGTGTGTTATCTGCATGTTTTCTGTGTGTTCTCTGCATGTTTTCTGTGTGTTCTCTGCATGTTTTCTGTGTGTTCTCTGCATGTTTTCTGTGTTTTATCTGCATGTTTTCTGTGTGTTCTCTGCATGTTTTCTGTGTTTTCTGCGTGTTCTCTGGATGTTTTCTGTGTGTTCTCTGCATGTTTTCTGTGTGTTCTCTGCAGGTTTTCTGTGTTTTCTGCGTGTTCTCTGGATGTTTTTTGCGTGTTATCTGCATGTTTTCTGTGTGTTCTCTGCATGTTTTCTGTGTGTTCTCTGCATGTTTTCTGTGTGTTCTCTGCATGTTTTCTGTGTGTTATCTGCATGTTTTCTGTGTGTTCTCTGCATGTTTTCTGTGTTTTCTGCGTGTTCTCTGGATGTTTTCTGTGTGTTCTCTGCATGTTTTCTGTGTGTTCTCTGCAGGTTTTCTGTGTTTTCTGCGTGTTCTCTGGATGTTTTTTGCGTGTTATCTGCATGTTTTCTGTGTGTTCTCTGCATGTTTTCCGTGTGTTCTCTGCATGTTTTCTGTGTGTTCTCTGCATGTTTTCTGTGTGTTATCTGCATGTTTTCTGTGTGTTCTCTGCATGTTTTCTGTGTTTTCTGCGTGTTCTCTGGATGTTTTCTGTGTGTTCTCTGCATGTTTTCTGTGTGTTCTCTGCATGTTTTCTGTGTGTTCTCTGCATGTTTTCTGTGTGTTCTCTGCATGTTCTCCGTGTTTTCTGCGTGTTCTCTGGATGTTTTTTGTGTGTTATCTGCATGTTTTCTGTGTGTTATCTGCATGTTTTCTGCGTGTTTTCTGCATGTTCTCTGGATGGTTTCTGTGTGTTCTCTGCAGGTTTTCTGTGTTATCTGCATGTTTTCTGCGTGTTCTCTGGATGTTTTTTGTGTGTTATCTTCATGTTTTCTGTGTGTTCTCGGCATGTCTTCTGAGTTATCTGCATGTTTTCTGCGTGTTCTCTGGATGTTTTTTGTGTGTTATCTGCATGTTTTCTGTGTGTTATCTGCATGTTTTCTGTGTGTTTTCTGCATGTTCTCTGGATGGTTTCTGTGTGTTCTCTGCAGGTTTTCTGTGTTATCTGCATGTTTTCTGTGTGTTCTCTGGATGTTTTTTGTGTGTTATCTTCATGTTTTCTGTGTGTTCTCTGCAGGTTTTCTGTGTTATCTGCATGTTTTCTGCGTGTTTTCTGGATGTTTTTTGTGTGTTATCTTCATGTTTTCTGTGTGTTATCTGCATGTTTTCTGTGTGTTCTCTGCATGTTTTCTGTGTGTTCTCTGCATGTTTTCTGTGTGTTCTCTGCAGGTTTTCTGTGTTATCTGCATGTTTGCATGTTTTCTGTGTGTTCTCTGCATGTTTTCTGTGTGTTCTCTGCATGTTTTCTGTGTGTTCTCTGCATGTTCTCCGTGTTTTCTGCGTGTTCTCTGGATGTTTTTTGTGTGTTATCTGCATGTTTTCTGTGTGTTATCTGCATGTTTTCTGCGTGTTTTCTGCATGTTCTCTGGATGGTTTCTGTGTGTTCTCTGCAGGTTTTCTGTGTTATCTGCATGTTTTCTGCGTGTTCTCTGGATGTTTTTTGTGTGTTATCTTCATGTTTTCTGTGTGTTCTCTGCATGTTTTCTGCATGTTTTCTGCGTGTTCTCTGGATGTTTTCTGTGTGTTATCTGCATGTTTTCTGTGTGTTCTCTGCATGTTTTCTGTGTGTTCTCTGCATGTTTTCTGTGTGTTCTCTGCATGTTTTCTGTGTGTTCTCTGCATGTTTTCTGTGTTTTCTGCGTGTTCTCTGGATGTTTTTTGTGTGTTATCTGCATGTTTTCTGTGTGTTCTCTGCATGTTTTCTGTGTGTTATCTGCATGTTTTCTGTGTGTTCTCTGCATGTTTTCTGTGTGTTCTCTGCAGGTTTTCTGTGTTATCTGCATGTTTTCTGTGTGTTCTCTGCATGTTTTCTGTGTTTTCTGTGTTCTCTGCATGTTTTCTGTGTGTTCTCTGCATGTTTTCTGTGTTTTCTGCGTGTTCTCTGGATGTTTTTTGTGTGTTATCTGCATGTTTTCTGTGTGTTCTCTGCATGTTTTCTGTGTGTTATCTGCATGTTTTCTGTGTTTTCTGTGTTCTCTGCATGTTTTCTGTGTGTTCTCTGCATGTTTTCTGTGTGTTCTCTGCAGATTTTCTGTGTTATCTGCATGTTTGCATGTTTTCTGTGTGTTCTCTGCATGTTTTCTGTGTGCTATCTGCATGTTTTCTGTGTGCTATCTGCATGTTTCTTTGTTATCTGCATGTTTTCTGTGTGTTATCTGCATGTTTTCTGTGTTATCTGCATGTTTTCTGTGTGTTCTCTGCATGTTTTCTGTGTGTTCTCTGCATGTTTTCTGTGTGTTCTCTGCATGTTTTCTGTGTGTTCTCTGCATGTTTTCTGTGTGTTCTCTGCATGTTTTCTGTGTGTTCTCTGCATGTTTTCTGTGTGTTCTCTGCATGTTTTCTGTGTTTTCTGCGTGTTCTCTGGATGTTTTCTGTGTGTTCTCTGCATGTTTTCTGTGTGTTCTCTGCAGGTTTTCTGTGTTTTCTGCGTGTTCTCTGGATGTTTTTTGCGTGTTATCTGCATGTTTTCTGTGTGTTCTCTGCATGTTTTCTGTGTGTTCTCTGCATGTTTTCTGTGTGTTCTGCGTGTTCTCTGGATGTTTTCTGTGTGTTCTCTGCAGGTTTTCTGTGTNTTCTGCGTGTTCTCTGGATGTTTTTTGCGTGTTATCTGCATGTTTTCTGTGTGTTCTCTGCATGTTTTCTGTGTGTTCTCTGCATGTTTTCTGTGTGTTCTCTGCATGTTTTCTGTGTGTTATCTGCATGTTTTCTGTGTGTTCTCTGCATGTTTTCTGTGTTTTCTGCGTGTTCTCTGGATGTTTTCTGTGTGTTCTCTGCATGTTTTCTGTGTGTTCTCTGCATGTTTTCTGTGTGTTCTCTGCATGTTTTCTGTGTGTTCTCTGCATGTTTTCTGTGTGTTCTCTGCATGTTTTCTGTGTGTTCTCTGCATGTTTTCTGTGTGTTCTCTGCATGTTTTCTGTGTGTTCTCTGCATGTTTTCTGTGTTTTCTGCGTGTTCTCTGGATGTTTTTTGTGTGTTATCTGCATGTTTTCTGTGTGTTATCTGCATGTTTTCTGTGTGTTTTCTGCATGTTCTCTGGATGGTTTCTGTGTGTTCTCTGCAGGTTTTCTGTGTTATCTGCATGTTTGCATGTTTTCTGCGTGTTTTCTGGATGTTTTTTGTGTGTTATCTTCATGTTTTCTGTGTGTTATCTGCATGTTTTCTGTGT